CCCATTTCTGGGATCTGTTCACATCCCATATGTTCTTTTAACCATAGATAGTCTATAGTCGTAAGATTTTGGAGCGCTACAACTTGCACCCCTCCCAACTCCTGGTTGAGTTCCAACAGTACACATCCGGTCAAATTCGTTGTCTCACTGTATGCACATGCCAGCCTAGACATCTCCCTCCTCATTCCAGTGGCAAGTCCAGGAAACGGTGGGGTGGACGCAGCCACAACCGCAGCATTGCCCAGATCCTTGTGGAGGCTTTTTGATGATCAACCCCCGGCACGAGTCCTCCAGAGAGTGCTGATACCAGAAGCTCCTCCTCATGTCGTATCTTAGTTCATTTTCTGGGTAGCCAAGCTAGGCCTTGATCTTCTGCATAAAAACAAACAGACCCTTTGCCCACACTTTGACATGCCCTCTATACCACTGTGTAGAACTCATTGGAGGTCAGCACACAGGAACTGCCTTTTTTTTTTTTTAATTTTTATTAAGAGAAAGGAATATTATCAGAAAAGAGTACCTCCATAGCCGATCATCTGACACCCTTTAAGTGATCAAAATTAAGGATATTTAAAGCATGCATTAATCTTTGATTTACCAATAGTTTTATCCTATCGAGTAATCCCCCTTTTCTTTCTTTTTTTCCTTTTTTTTTTTAATCTTTAATCTACACTTACATGAAGAATACTATGTTTACTATGCTCTCCCCTATACCAAGTCCCCCCTAAAAACCACATTACAGTCACTGTCTGTCAGCATAGCAAAATGTTGTAGAATCACTACTTGTCCTCCACAGAGCCTTTTTTTTAAACCCCTGTTGAATGTGACATTTATTGACATCCCAGAGAACTGGAGTTTAATACAGCATAACCTTGGAAACACTGATGAGGAACATAGTGGGAAATATGGCCAGAAAAGTAGGCTGGGATGGCCTCAGACTGGGGAGGGAATGGATGTTGGGCTGAGGGTCATGGGCTTATCTTATAGGCAGTTGGGAGTCACTGAAGAGTTTTGACAAGAAAATGACATCACTAAAGCTCTGGTTTAAAAAGATTAATGTAACAGGTAATGCTAATTGATTGAAAAAGTGACTGCTCTGGAGATAGATTTTGGGCTTTCAAAAAGATGAAATAGATGTACTTTTCCCTATTCTTCCACCAAGTATAGCTAAAATCCTTCAACATTATAAATCCTTACAAACACATATAAAAAGACTCTGAAAGGTAGAAGGCTGCAGAGCAGCTAGGGACCTCAGACCTAAGGAATGACAGGGTGGTGAGTTCCCTGAATTTTCCTTTTACCTCATATGTCCCCAGCTGGGTGCTAGAGAAGCCCACCAACATGTACAAACAAAAAAGCTAGCTCTCCTGCTGCATTAGATTCCTAGGGCTGCTCTAACAAATTATAAACGACATGGCTTATGACAACAGAAATTTTTCCTCACAGTTCTGGAGGCAAGAAGTCTGAAATCAAGGGGTTGACAGGACTGCACTCCCATCAGGTTCTAGGGGAGATTCTGTTCCTTGCCTCTTCTGTCAAACCTCCTGTGTGCCCCTTAGAAGAACACTTGGATCGAATTTGGGACTGATCTGGATAATTCAGGATAAATCCCTCTTTGCAAGATCCCTAATTTAACCACACGTTTTACCATATATGGCAATATTCACAGATCTTTAGGGATTAGGATATGGATGTCTTCTTGGGGGGAGCCACCATTCAACCCGCTCCAGTCCACCAGCTTGCTCCACAAAATTCATGTTCATCCCACATGTAAAATACATTCACCTCAAATACATTCCCAGTGTGACCAGAAGTCTCCACCCATTACAGATCAACTAAAAAATCTAAGTACCATCAGCTCAGAAGTCTGGAATCTCACCAACTGCATCGGTTTTGGTGAGACTGGGCGTGAGCCATCCTGGAGCAAAAGCCCTCCATCTGTGGGCCTGTGAAACTCAAGAAAAAATTATCTGCTTCCAAAATAAAATGATGAAACAGGCATATGATAGACATTTCCATTCCAAAAGGGAAAAATTGGAAGGAATAAAGGAGTCACCATTCCCAAGCAGGTTTGAAATCCAGCAGGGCAAATTCCCTAAGATTTAAGTCCTGAAAGCAATCCTCTGTCATCAGGGCTCTGCCCACTGGGCCCCAGGCAGCTCCACTGGCCTTTGAGTTTGTGCTCACAGGGACTCCATAAGCCTCTGCCTCTGCATCCATGGCTTGCTCTGCCCTCAGAATCTATCTTGCTTTTTCTTGAAGGTTAGCACATGTTTGCAGTGGCGTAACTGTTTTCTGCCTGCAGAGTTTTGGAAATCCAACAGACTTGTTTTATCTTCTCTGTCCCTTTCAGTCCAATCTGATTTCTGCTGGCATGACATTCTCAGAAATCTCATGGGTCTCTGTGTATGTCAGGGAAGTCCACACCATTAGACAAAAGATCCATGTATCTTTCTTGGATAGCCCCATCTCTTTTCCTGACTTCTGCTGAGATGACTGAGTACATGAGTCACACACATAATCTCTTCAGTAAAAGGCTGTCCAGAGCTCCACCCTTGGCCTTCTCTCCAGAGCATGCATTCCTGACAGTGAATTTCTTAATTTTAGCATCCTTTACAATCCTGTGAACCTCCCAAATCAAGTGCTGGGGCATGTCTGTTTGTTTTGTTTCATGGGTAACAGTTCTTCACCTTCTTTTATCTTGCATTTTACTATAAGCAACAAGGAGAAATCAGGTTGCACCTTCAACAATTGGAAGAAATCTCAAGTCATATAACAGCTAGATATGATATCAACAATATATGAAGGATATAGAAGAACTCAAACATTATCAACCAACAGAATCTCATCAACATTTATAGCACATACCCCCCAAAACTGCAAAATATGCATTCCTTTTCCAGCACCCATGGAACATATACCAAGATAGACTAAGAACTGTGTCGTAAAATAAATCTCAACACATTTGTAAGACCTTATATCATACAATGTGTGTTCTCTGACCACAATAAAATCAAACTAAAAATTAATAACAGCAAGACAACAGGAAAATCCCAAACATTTGCAAACTAAAACACACTTCTAAATAATCCAGGTTAAAGAAAAAAATCTCAAAGGAAAACAATAGAGATAGTAATAATGAGCTGATTTGTTGATAAGATCAATAAATAGGCCAACCTCTAATAAAACTGACAAAGACAAATTACTAATATCGGGAATGGAACAGGATAGCATTTATGCTGCAGACATCAGAAGAATAGTATGAACAACTCCATGCACAAATACATGACAGCTTAGATGAAGTGAACCAATTCTTTGAAAAGCATAAGATACCACAGCTTATCAACTATGAAATAGTTTGAATAGACTTACAACTATGGAGAAAATTGAATTTGTAATTTAAAAACTACTGAAAAACACATTCCAGACCCAGATGGCTTCACTGGAGAATTCTACCAAACATTGAAAGACAGATTAACACTAATTCTTCACTATCTCTTCCAGAAAACAGAATAGGAAGAAATACTTCCCATTTCATTTTATGAAGCTGGTATTACCATGGTATCAAAACTAGACAAAAAGAGTATAGAAAAGGAA